CAGTACTGCAGCATTACCCTCTGTCTGGACAGAAAGAAACAAGTCAGCTACACTCTCAGGGTCTGGAGTATTAGCAGGATGCAGCAGGGTGCAGGGTGGAGACGCAGCAGGAGCTTCCTACAGCTGATTTCCCATTGTTGGCTGGAAGAGGTCTCAGGGGTCTCCTAGTCCACCGCCCTGCCTGAGGCAGGATCAGCCCTGTCCAAACCAACCTACAGATCCACCGTCTCACCTCTTTGCAAAACTCCAGTCAACTCTGACACAACACGAGGCATCACACCCGAACCTGCCACAGGGAAAGCAGGGGAGCCCCAGCAGCCGACCTCCTGCTGCTATACCAGGCTGTTAATATACGCTCAAGAGATCCCAGGCAGAGGCCGTGTCCCTCACTAAAAGGAAGGCAAAACCCCCTACATCCCCCACTAGATAATCATTTCTCTAGCCTCTTCTTAAAACAGCCCCCCAATCCATGGCCACAGAGAGGATTTTTACATTTCTCTGTGCCTCAGTTTCCCATCTCCAAAAGTGAATAGGAATCTTACTTCCATACACTCCCAGGGAGAGGCAAAGCATGAGGGTGGTCAAAGCCTGGACAGCTCTCTGAAGAACCAGCTTGGTTTAAAAACCTTTCTGCTGGACTCCAGAGGGGTGGGGGAGGCATTTTCATACAACTCCAACTGATATTTTGCTCCCCGCCTCCCCCAAGATCTAAGATCTGGGAAAAGCTTCACTTCATGTTGACTATTACATGTCTATTTAATTACCCAAATTAATACAACTGCAGGCCTGGTCCCCTGCACTGCTGCCCTCTCTGCAACAAATGAGGGGTCCTTGCTGCTTGGAACAATCCACAAACCTTTCCCATGGGGTAGGCAAGTGTTGATACAATCACAGAAAATGAGGGTTGAAGGGACCTCAGGAGGTCACATCTAGTCCAACCCCCTGCTCAGAGCAGGATCATTAGAGACAGGTCCAGCATTATCCCTATCCCAGCTGCTGTTCTCTAGGAATCACCCTGCTAGGCAGTGAAAGGGAAAGCTCCAGGGCTGTATTTCGCTTGGCTTTCCCCGAAGGCAATGACTTCTACTCTTGCATGCATTTTAGAAACATCAGAGCCTCCCTTCTGACTCGTTATTGATATCCACTCCCAGCAGCCTAGAGACCTGTCAGCTGGTACGTGCCTGAAGACTGAGCCTGCCCCAAACTGCAAGAGGTGTTATTGGGGCAGATCCCTACACCTGTGTGAAACCCTAGTGAAGTCAAGAAGATTCCAGAGACAAGGGTCTGGGTAGGGGCAGCTGTAGGATCAGAGCCAGAGCACAAATGCAGAAGCACCCTGCAGGGTGCACAAGATCCATCCTCCTTGCACTCAGCACAGACTGGGCTGGTGCTTGGTTTCTGTCTTTCCAGGAGAGGGGAAAGAAGCAGGTTCCAAGAACAAGGCACCGAGATCGGCAGCCAATGTCGCTGTACTTGTGGCAAATGCCCAGCAGCATCTGGTACAAAACGAGAGCTGGGCTGCCAGGATACAAGGTCCAGAGACACAGCAGCAGGCTGCGCTCATCTCCTACACTTCCCAGTTCAGTTCCGTACTAAACACGGGAGAATGCAGGACCGAGAGGGAAACCATAAGGCCCCATGAAGGGCAAGGAGGCATTTCTTAAGGGGCTGGACACTGTCTTGCTGTGAAAGGCAACTGCAGCAGTCTACCGTCACCCTATATGAAGGCCTCGGACGCTGTGGCCACATCTGGGCCTGCAGGGTGGAGTTGAGGCCCAGTGGGCAAAGCTCTTCATCACTTGTGCCCAAATCTGCCCCTGTCTCCGACTGCCACTCCTGTAGCTTTGTCAAGGGAACACACCCTCTTCCCTGGTCTCATCTGAGCCCCGCTACTAGGGGGTCAAGCCTCCATTGCACCATATTGTACCAAATCTCCCAGATCACATGTGCATGGTCTGTATTCCTGCCCCCTTGCCATCCTTGCCGGGAGCGGACAGGCTCCCTTTGCTGCTCTGCCCCCACACCACTGGATCCTTCCCCCTCTCCCAGGAACCTTCACTCCTGGACCAACCACCTACCCTACCCCTCAAGTCCAGTTCATTAAAACTGCAGCTTCATGCTGTGGTTACAGAGCTGGAGCTCAAGCCAAGGCCCCTTCCATGCAGAGATTGAGACTCCATTTGTACAGCGCCAAGCACAGCCATCTTAAGTCCTTAAGGCAAAGAAACTCATCCTGCCAAAGCTCTGTC